AAATGTAACACAGACAAACTATCTGCGCTGTTAATAGGAAAAAAGAACACGCCAAGGACATTTTGAAGAGGCATGACCAAAATGGATGGCAAATAAGTGGTTTACTTCAAAAATGGACTACAAAGACCTTATAACACAATTTATACTGTCATATTTATCTAATTATAGCAACTAACTATATAAAGAGGATCACTTAATATATTCATACCATACTCCATACAGAACAGCTCACCTTTATGTAACAGATAACCCAGTGTCCTGTCAATCATCTTAACATTGTTGCGCTGTCTTCCTATGACCTCTTGTATAAAGCTGGGTTTTTATATTTTATTACTAGGGATGTAACAATAACCAAAATATCATGATATTGTATCATCAAAGTTCTCACAATAATATCGTGGACCCTCACAATATATCGAATTACAAGTCTATTTGTTTAAATTAAGAGTTATGATGCAGCTATAGCTAAAAAAAAGACAGAGGGAACTACATAGACCATGATCCTTTGCTCCATTTCTGTGTAGACTACATGAAGAAATAACAGTTCTAAGCACTTTTAAGTCTTAGTTCTTTGGATTAAATCTTGTCAAAGCATTTTAAGAGGAAAAAGTAGCATAATAACAGTTTTGTTTGCCTCCACAAAATACCACAAAAAATATTGTACTGTGAGATGTATATCATGAAAATATTGTACCGAGAGATTTGGATATTGAAATTGATTGATATACATTCCTAATTGTGTCTGCTGCAAAGCGTAAACATTGTAGAAATTGTAAGTCAAAACCAGCCTGTAAATAGTCTTATTACATCAAATTAAATGCCCAAGCAAGATATCGGTTGAACCAGTATCATGGAACCAATACCCAGTCCAGCTAAATTTGAAGTGCTGGTGCTGATATTTGATACCAGTATCAGTATTGGTGCATCCCAATCCAGTGTTTGTATTCCCACTTACCTCATTAATTCTGAGCATCCTAATGAGGATGAGTTTGTAAAAGCTTTTCACAACTTTCAGAGATTAGAGTGGAGTTTTGCCGCCACTACAAAGCTGACAACAACTACCATGACTGTAAAATACTTTATTATTGGATACACAGAGTTCACATCTGTCTTATTTTGACCATGACAATTTTACAATATAGAGCAAAACAACGTCAACAAAAAGCTGCTAAATTTCAAATCAAATCTCAATTTTAAAGGTCCACTGTGTACCACATGCTAGTCTCCAGCCTGGAATGTTTCACAGTAAGGCATTAAACTTATCCCCGCTCACACAAGAATGCATACATTTCTGAACAATAAATAATCACTTCTAAAGAACATACTAAGCAAAGCAATAACATCTCCCTAAAGAAAAAAATGTGGTGTAACCTCCACCAGAAAAGTTAAGCAATGCACCTTTACTCATCAGTTACTTAAAAACTCATTCATAATGGAAAAAACAACTAAATATTTGATCCAAGTTAGAGGAGTAACTTCAAATTATAACAAAGTAAAAGCATGTGGTGTGCAAAATCTCCTAATACTGGTATAATTTCCTCAAAACATCACTATTCACGTCCACAAACTGAAAACAGATCTGGTTAATTACGAAAAATTGCCACACAACTGGCGGAGGGACGGCCATTCAAAACCATATTAAGTTCCAAGTCAATTACAGCGCACAGATTGTGAGTGTAAAACAATAGCAGACGGCGTATTGTGCTAAGAATGATAAAGATTCAGAAGCAGGCACTAGCAGCCTAGCTCCAAACTCATCTGTCTCTTTGGTTTACATTACTGCAACACAATTAGCTCATTTGATTAGAGCTGCTCAGGCCTTCACTGTGAGAACGCAGACATTTTAGGAAAGAGACTTGTTGTGACTGATGATAGAGGATTACTTCATTCCTAAAAACTTGTTTTGATTAAAGGTCCTATTTTATTACACAAAGTTGATTCTTGTTGTGAGCTTCAAGTCATGTTATAGCGTTATCTCATCAAAAACATACCTGAAGATTTGTTTTGTTTCATTCACACATGAGTAAACTTTTATTATAAGTCTGTACATCTACAAAGCTCAAAATGCTCTGTTCTACCTTGTGATGTCATGAAGAGGTAATTTTCAAGTTAACAGCTTTTATCTAAAGATTGGCATTTCCAGGGCTGAAATTATCCAACTTATTCTAGTGAAAGATGTATGGTTTAAAAATGTGTGTAAAATTCCTCAGTCGTCCAGGTAGAATTCAAGGCAAAAGGAGAAATTCAGTCTGTCAACTGGACAAAAGTTAATTTGGTTGAATACGTTTCACAGTTCTGTCCAGTTGACAGATTGAATTTCTTCATTTGCTATAGTTTAAAAACACAGTGGAGCATTTCCTGTATTGCGACATCACATCACAAGTGTTCTGATGAAAAAAAATGAGCATTAATTTGTGTGTTAATCATGCATGAATGAAACAAAACACAACTCCAGGTATGTTTTTGACAAGGAAACAGCAGCTATTTCTGTAAAAAAAAAAAAAAAAACAAGTGGAAGGGTCAATGATATTACCTACACACATTGACGGATGAGAACAATAAAAAAACAACTTGTTGAATGAGGAACTTATGGAAACAGCTGCCTCTCAAACATACCAAGAGTTGTGTTTTGTTTCATTCACACATGTTTAACACAAAAACCATCCATATTTAGAGTTCTTCTCTCAAAACAGAAAATTCTCCACCTCGTTCAACCCTGTGATGTCATGTGGTGATACAGGAAGTGCTCCACTGTGTTTGAAACTCCATACAGCTTTACTAGAATCATCCAGATAATTTCAACTTGCCCATCTCTTCTCAACAAAAGTTAAAAGGTAGTGGTTAACTTGAAAACTACCGCTTCATGACATCACAAGGTAGAACAGAGCATTTTGAGCTTTGGAGATGTTAAAAGACTAATACTAAAGGGTTACTCAAACTTGTGTGAATGAAACAAAACACTACTCCTGGTATGTTTTAACAACATTATAACACATCTTAAAGCTCACAAGAATCCAAGTTGTGTAATACAGGACCTTTAAAGTTGTTTTCCTGCACAGAGTCTGGTACAAGTCCTTTATCATGGAATGACTGGAACACTAAATACAAACAGGAAGCAGCATCTTCCACTCAATCCTAGTTTACATTTCTGTTTTCGAAAATAGGCGAAATGTCAAAGAGATGTTGTGAACTGAAGCAGGCTACACCCACACGGCTCACATCTCCAATATTTGATTCACAAAAGAATGCTGCTGGCAAACCGAATACAGAAACAGCTGAAATAGTTGAACTACTGTGTAAAAGATAGAACATGGAAACTCACTGCATTGTGACTCTGTACCATGCTAATGTATGTCTACTAAAGCTAATAACGTTGTCTAAATTAGCATTAGTCTTTCAATTCTTTTTTATTTGATTATTTTGATTAATATCTGTAAGAATGACAAAAGTTCAAACCAATATTTTCTGAGCACTCGCCTCAAATACAAGATAACCCATAAATGCAATAATTATCCAAAATTAGGGTGACCAGAATATGAAAATAAAAAACTAGGACATCCCTGTTTTTTTTGGCGGTTGATAATAAAATTGTGAAACTAGTGGGTAATTAAGGAAAATCGTTATGCAGAGACCATTCTTGACTAACAGTATAGTATTTTCTTTGTGTTTTGGTGATTTTTAAGCATCTTTTTTGTATTTTACCGAAACAAATGACAATTTATGCCTCTCTTTACTGTTGGCAGGGATCACATCGGTAAAAATATGGACATTTCTTGTATAAAACTGGGACAAATCACTGGTTTTGGATAAATCTACTGGGACAGGGGACACAGGGCTTAAAACTGGGACTGTCCTGGGTAAACAGGGACGTCTGGTCACCCCACTCAAAATACAACTGCAAATAGAGTTCAACAGCGACAGTTCCAGAAGTAAATTTCTCATTCATTTTCTCATACACTTTCTGAAAAAAATAAATAAATAAAATTAAATGTTTATGAGCTTGCTCAGGGCAAATCAGCCATGTGGAAACTAATGACCACAAGACTTATCGTTTTAATTAAAAATTTATTTCTGAAATTTTGGAAACTGCCAAGTTATTAAAGCATTTTGCCAAATCTTTCGTTTTAAATGTACTTTTTGGACAAACTGCTTTATGGATATTAGTTAGCGCGAAGTTGGTTAGCCTCCATGACGTCTCTTAATATCTGACATTTTTGAAAAGTCTATGGGAAAAATGAATGAAATTAAAAATGACTTCAGTAACCAGAGTGGCCTGTCACTGAGCTCCATGGCCTACAATTTTTCAATCATTAGAAAACACCAGGTTAACTCTCAAACTTTTGCATATTTTTTATCTCTCCAGGAAATGTGCTAAAAACTATGCACAAAAACTGACAAAATTGCTAAGAGCGGGCTGTCACTGTTCAGTTCCATAGCCTACAATTTCCCATTCAATAGGAAACACCAGGTCAAAGCTTTTAAAAGCCACTTCTGCATGATATTTTGCTTTTGAGAAAATGTGTTAAATGTTGGGCTAATTTTGACTCTGGAAAGTTATGCACAAAAACTGGCTAAATCAAAATCCCCAGTTAGTACAAGACCCGCGCTAATGTTAAGCTAATGTTGTGTTATACAGCATTCCCTATACGTATGTTTAGTGTGCACTTAATCATCCGACGGAGCTGGATTTGGGCGCATTAATCGTGAAACCGTCCTCCAGGTCTTCATGCTAATTGGTCATGACGGCTAGGCTAGGCTAACTGACAAACAGGCAGCGGGCAGGCGGGCCGAGGGGGTATTTTTAGCCCCGACGCCGTCCTAACACAGAGGGGATGGTGACAGGTGGAGAGGGGAGTAGCAGAGATTAAACCAGGCTCTGTTGACTTCATCTGAATCATATTATATAAAAGGCAGAAGACATGGTTCAAAGAGCACCAAATAGATTAGGAGATGGACGGCGCGCGATAACAGGGGTATTACGGACGAGGAGGGGGGCTTACCTTCTGTAGACTGGTGGGGTTTAGCTGGGTTTTGTCTATGATCTTCACAGCCACCTGGAATGACAAAATAGAAAGATTTGCAAGATGTTAATAAAACTTGAAAAAATAAACCATCAAAGTATTATTATTCCAATTTTTTAACTTAGTTTTAAGGTTGCAATCAAACATATTGCCTAGTAAATTTATAAAGTGGTGATCATAGGCAGGGCAGTAGACAGGGCGGGACAAAGGGGTCTGTTGTCTTTTTAAAGAGCCCAGAATTGGATCCTTTTCTATTAACTCTTTCCCCTTGGACGCCTACTGGGAACAACCCATACATATATCACTATGGCGACCCATAGAGCATAATCGCATAAAAGAAAACAGACTTCCACGAGTGATTATTAATTATTTTCACACTCATAAACTTAATTGAAACACAGACAAATTTGGAATCTCTGGAAACCTTAGACTCTGAACTATTCATGTATGAATGTTTAAATGTGATTCAACTCATTTACAGGTATATAACAGCTCACTGAAAATTAGTTTACCTGGTCAGATGCCAAATCAAAAACAAAAAAATACATTCAGCATCTGATATATGCATGTTCTGAGTACTATATTCATAAAAAAATGTAAAATATATTTGTCAAAGTATTTAAACAGATTTCATATCACCAGATACAGTATAGCCAAGTGTACACCTGTTTTTACCTGTTGCACACCTGTGTGTACCTAATTTTTTTTTTCCATTTATCTTATTCAACTCATTTAACTTATTCAACTGATTTAGCTTATTATAATATAATAATATAATAATAAAACTTTTCCCCGTCAGTGGGTGTCATCTTGGCTACTTTCTCGTGCGCAGAACTTTGCATAAGCGTTTGTTGTATATTAGACAGGGGCCCATGTAAGGCTTCTTGCCCCGGGACCCCAAATGTCTGTCAACAGGCCTGATCATAAGCATTCATTTTAACAGCAAAGTAATTCGACCACTAAAACCTCAATAACATTGCATTACATTGTGAGACAGACCTAAAATCTTGTGTTATCAGTGTGACCAAACTGTGGAAAAGCTCAGACATCCCTGGCCTAGTTTAGTTTAGTTTATTGGTTTGTTTGAACAGGGTTTAACACCTTGTGCAAACACATAAAAGAAGAGATGCTTTTTATACCAGATTTAGCTAAAATTGGTTTCCGTTTGCAGTCCTCGGGCAGGTTAACAATTAAAAAACATCTAAGTATCCATCCTTTTACAATCAAACCATGCATTCTCTATTTTTTTTTTCATTTCAAAACACCACACTCCGCATTTCCACAGTTAATATGGCTCATATACTAAGTCAGATATGATCATATAAGGTACAACATGCAAATACAAATCAGTGCTGACAGTGCTGACTCTGTAAAACAGCTTTTCGAACGTTGTAGAAGGAGTCCCTCAGGTCAATTTCTTATCAGTATTCTGATTTAATACAGAGAAACAACTGGGTCAATAGGTAACTTTTCTTTTATTTGTTCCACAGGCAGAATGGCACTGAACTGAAGTCTATCTCCATGGAGGTGAGCAGGTGACTATACCAGGCCCAGTTACAAGTTAGATCTGTGAAAAAGTGACCCCCTTCACACAGCACAAGCACACATAACTGGATAAATGTGAAGCTTCTTTGAGTTATCGTGAAAGCTGCTATATAAATCTGATGTATTATTATGCCAGACAACACAAGTTTAATGTCATACTGTGGAACATTCTAATTAGGGGTGTGCAAAAATGTTGCAATATCGTATTGTTTAATATGACAATACAATATCAATATCGTGGGCTGCTGTATCGATATATAGTCAAGAGTATTTTTCTGTATATTTTACCAAATTTTGTTACAGCACTACAGTTTTGTTGCTTGTTCAGAGGGAAAAAAAAGTCATTTATGCGGCACATTTGACATAAAAAAAAAAAATAAAAAATGGGTGTTTCATATTAACTTTGCAAAAGAAGTTGTTTAATAAAGACTTTTAGTATCACAGCCATGATTAAGCCTTTATTTTTTATTGAACTGTATCAAACTGATTTGAAATATATCGTTTCGAATTGTCTGGAATCAAAAGCTCACTGTATCGAGATATGTATGGTATTGTGACCTATGTATCGAGATATGTATGGTATCGTGGCTTGTGTAATGAGGTATGTATTGTATCGTGGCCTGTGTATCAAAGTATGTATCGTATCGTGACCTGTGTATCAAAGTATGTATCGTATCGTGGCCTGTGTATTGAAGTATGTATCGTATCGGCAACTTCGTGATGATACCCTGCCCTAATTATAAGCATAGAAATAACATCTCTGGTGAGAATCCAGTGGTCTAAGTCAAAGTCTTGTCTAAATCTAATCCCCATGGTGACAAACGTGGCAGACTTCCCGCTAGAAAAGTGACACAGTGCACCTTTAACAAAAACTTAACCTACAGGCTGCCAATTTTGATACATTCTTAAAAAAAAAAAAAAAAAGATTTATTTCACCTCACATATAGCCTAAATCTTCCAATTCTTCCATTCTCAGGTTGCTATGTACTTATATAAGGCGTGGCGGACTACAATTTCAGGAAAGTGTTGCTTTAAATGGCTTATAATGTTTCCATTCTGAAGTTAGATTTCATCTTTGTCAACATGTGTTATAGCTTTCTGTATAAATCAAGCTGGAGGCCATCACTGCTCACATTCCAAAGCAGTCTATCTGTTACTAATGGACTCCTGAGTAAACTTCGTATTTGCCCCTATAACAGAACAGTGGGTATGTTTACTATGTCTGTAAACTATAGTCTGTATATATTGAGTAACAGAGCTGACCTGCCACCCGCCACGTTCCAAACAGGAAGTGAGCGGATTATGGCTACAATTGACTTCTATTTAAAGGGCTCGTGTTTTGCAATTTTCTGATCGATGTTATAATGTTGTTTCCGTATCACAAACATACCTGGAGTTGTGTTTTGTTTCATTTATACATGTTTAACACAAATTTAGTAACTGAGTTTTTCTTTCAAACTGAAATTACTCTGTTCCATGTTGTGATGTCATGTGGTAATACAGGAAGTGCTCCACTGTGTTTTTAAACTTCATACACCTTCACTAGAATCATTTGGATGATTTCAGTGCTGGAATTGCCCATCTTTAATTAACTAAAAAGTAAAGTGTAAAAAGTAAAAGGTACAACTGCTTCATGGCATCACAAGGCTGAACAGAGCATTTTGAGCTTTGAGATGTAGACACACTATTTATAAAATTATTACTCAAACATATGTGAATGAAACTAAATACAAGCATGTTTTCGAGGAGGTAACAGCATTATAACATGGCTTAAAGCTCACAAGAGTCAATTTTGTGCAATATAGGACCTTTAAAATATGCCACACATCTCTCTTTAACTGCTGCTCGTCATTTTTTTTTAAACCCCTTATTGTGACATTGGTATTTTTATTTTGTCATTTTGCTGTTACAACTGCTAGCCTCGATTTGCTTCATTTGGCTGCAATCGTTTGGGTGAGGTCACACTCCCACAGTCCATTTGATACTTTGCAGCTGATGTCATCCACATTCCCTGGGGGTGTGATGCTAACTGTATGTCTGCTCTGTCTGAGGCTTTATTACACTTTTATTCTGAGCTTTATTTTAACACAATTTGATCAGAAAGAACTGTTTTAGTTGGAACTGTAACAGGTGAGTTGATAATTGTGATGATGTGCTGTTAAACAAGTCTCTCTCACATCAAATTACAGTCATAAGCAGTTTTTCAATTAGTCACTTTCACATTTTTGTTGAAAATCAAACATCTAAACAGGACAATGAGTACTTGTATTGATCACAGGCTCCTGAAAATGTGCTGTTTAAATCCATTTTGCTTTCAGACAATTTTAATTTAATAATCTGTATTTCTACTTTTCTACATTTTTTAACTGAACTGAAAAATATTTTTTATTATTGCATGCTGAAAAGGCTGAGGGTTTATTTTGAACACATTTATAGTTTCAGCAAGCAAAACATATACAAATAAAAAACACTTAATTCAGTTGTTTCTGTTCAACTAAATTCAGCACAAATCTGTATTAAAATCACTTTATTAACTCTCAAAATCTGTGTACATTACTTTTTTAAACAAGCACTTTCAAGAACAAATATTATGTTTTTATGAAATACCAACCATACATGTATGTGTGGTGTATAATAACTGTAATAACAGTCTGAACAGTCTGCCCATAGTCTGAATTTCTTATTATTTTTGCTCCAGAGTCCATTCTCCTGCCCTTTCTCAGAGCTTTCTCTGCCCATGCGTCATTTAGCGCTGTTTCCTTTAAATGCAAATGACATCCTTCACACTGCTCCCCCTCCTGACCCCTGGCAGCCATTGTTGTAGTCCACTACATAACAGAATAAGGCAGTGTGGAAGTGGAAGTTTTGCTGAAATTAGTCCACAACTACAAATAAAAAATGGCACAACTAGAAGAGTTTACCGTCCAAATCTACATGTCTGAACCAGGAGCCTGAAGATGTCGAACAAGACGAACCTTTGGAATCTAGACTTGCTTCTCAATGGTTAGTTGGTTAACTTGCAATTATATACCAACAAAGGTGCATTTCTTGCCAGCTCAAAATAAATGGTTTATAGAAGAAAATGAACATTGAGTATCTGGACCGGAATTGAAAGCTGTCTAAAAAGATATAAAGATATCTTTGCAACTACTGTATGGTTCAAATTGAGCTTTTTGAGCCAATACAGACCTTATATACCCAGGAAACACCATAAAAAAGCTGAAAAAGTTAGTTTAGCATAATGTGTGTTCTTTAATACTTTTACTTGAGTAGATCTGACTTTATGCATTCTGTCACTATGGTAACTCCTAAATATCCCACCATTAGAGGTACACGTAGAACTCCCTGAGGCCCCAGCATGATGCAATTCTATATACAGCAGATCGGTGTTCAAACTGATGGCCCCACACGCTCTCATCCAGTCGGCAGCATTCTGTTCTGTCCATCGCCCAAAGTGCACGACTACAACTAGCGCATCAGCAACTTCC